TTTTTTTTTGCCTAGCATACTTTTAAAAAAACTGCATCGTATTAAGTATTGTACACAAAGTAGGTATTGCTCAATGATATTAGGCTGAACAATTTCTCTTATATATGCTTTATATCCCTGTTTAATTCTCCAACTCTTATGCACAATTTATATCTCTTCATTCCTAGCCAAGAGGTAATCCAATAGCCATGAAAGCCTGAAAGAGAAAAATAAAATATAATGAAAAAGAAAAGCAAGAGGAAAAAAACTAAAAACCCAAAGTAATCCTTAATAGAGCCTTTGCATGCTGCATGTATTTACACAGTACTTCTACAGATTTGTTTATACCATTTTCCATAGCTTGACTTTTATACTATTTTTTCTTAATTGCTAGGTTCACTAACTCATTGTTTAGGTATCTATCGTTAGTTTAGTTTTATCTATTTCTGCAGTACCCTCCATTTAAGAACCAGTGGTGCTTTCTGTTAGGATTCTTGCTTTGGTTTTCTTCCTGACAAAACTGCTCTGCTTCTTCCATAGTGCAAGAACTCTATATATTAACATGGAGTTCCCAGATAGTTTAGGAGCTCATAGTTCAGGCTATCAGTGTGTAGTTCAGAGCCAGCATAGGGTAGCGGTTAAAGTATTGGACTAGGATCTGGGAGACCCAGGTTCAGATCCCCGCTCTGCTTAGTCTGCTATGGAAACTTGTTGGATGACTTTCAGCTTGGCACTCCCTCTCAGTCTTAATTGCTTCACAAGGATATTGTGAGGATAAAATGGCGAACAGACTTATGTGAGATACTGGGTCTCGCTATTGTGGAGAAAAGCAGGATATAAATAAATAATTGGTATAACATCTATTTAATTTGTTTTTCTTTTGCCAGGTTATTTCAGGATTGAAGTTGACAAGATTGTTTGCATCAAATCAAACTTTACCAAGTGAATGTCTTAGCTGTTTAGTAGAACTTGTTCATGACCCAAACACAAGTTCTCAGTTAACCTTAACTGTGGTTGGTTTGCTCTCTCAGCTAGGTAAGCAATTAACTTGTAGTAAAAAGATATGACATGAAATGCAAAAGCAACTAAAATGCCGCCTCCAGTTTGAGAAACTGAGTCCTCTTGTGTTCTCAATATCTCCTAAGAAAAAAAAATAGGAAATAAGTTACAGCTGCTGATTAAAATATAATGGCTGTGGATTTATTTATTTTTTAAAGATTTGTTAACTCTGTCATTGTAGACCAATTACTTCTGGCCTTCATGGTATCAGAGGTGTTTCAATCACATGTTATGTTTACATATTAGTTTCAGACAATGAAACCAGGGAAGCCCTTCAGAATACTTACAGTCTGAGTAACATTCTAGCAGATGTGGTTCATCGGAGTTCTGTCAGTCCTGTTGATCCAGTGTTACTACCGGTAAGAGTATTATGTGCCACAGAAATTATAAAGATTATGCTGGAATTCTAATATAATAACCAAGCTAATGCATAATGTAAGAAACCAGATAACAGGTATGCACAGAAATTTATGCTGGTAACAGTGTTCTGTTATGCTGGCCACATGACCATGGAAATGTCTTCGTACAGCGCTGGTTCTTCATCTGGAAACAGAGATGAGCACCGCCCCCTAGAGGTCGGATTCAACTGGCTTTCGAGCAAGGGAAACCTAATTAGTGATATAAGAATTGACAGTTGGACAAAAAATACTTTCTATTTAGTTACTGTTTGGGTATCCTTAGGTATACCCATCTCAACTTTAGCTGCTGGAAACTCTGTTTTTACGAACCAAAACGAGCATGTCTCTGTTGTCGTTGTTAGCCATTCAGTCGTGTCCGACTCTTGGCATTTCTATGGGCCAGCTCTTTCTAACTAAGGCTTATTTATACAGAGACCATGGATTTAACACCTATGAACTTCTAATAAATATTTCTAATTAGTCCTTGCACCTTTTGCTGTTTGGTTAGCTATCTTGAGTTTCTGGAGGTAAGGTGGGGGAGATATCAATAGTTTAATATTTTAATATATTCATTTGGCAGATTCTGATGCAGTCTCCTATGCCCCTTGTTAGCCCCTGTGTCTGAGAGGGACTGTTTGATTGGCTGATTGTTTCCATATGTGTAGTGTAGCCAGGAGATCCTACGATTGTCTGTCAGCCAGAAATTCTAGCTTTTTAGTGTTATCCAGGGTGCACTACCTT